GGGGCAGAGAGAGAGAGGGAGACAGAGTACCTGAAGTAGGCTCCAGGCTCCAAGCTGTCAGCACAGAGCCCAACACGGGGCTCGAACCCGTGAGATCATGACTTGAGTCAAAGTCAGATGCTTAACCTACTGAGTCACCCAGGTGCCCCTACACAGTGAAATATTTCAAAATGAACAATGCCTATCCATGAAAAAACAAATATTTCCTCTTGCTACAGATGACCAGCTTTGCATTCATGTTTCTATGTTCCTTTCTCTAATCAGGGATCAGTTGTCTGCAAAACGATCTGCTTAACAGTGCTGACATGTAATCAAAAGCAACATACCAACAGAGTTTGGAGTGGTAAGATTTGTGGACTAAACTGAACCAGGTTGGTAATGGGCTAGGCCCTCCCCCAGAGTGGCTTCTGGCAACAGAAGGGTAACTTTAGGCCTTTTAGGTTTCTTGCCTTTGTACATCCTGAAAGCAGACACTGGGGAGGTAAGCCTATAATTAGGGGGTTATTTAGAATAGAGAGTTGTGACAGACTGCAACCTGTCTGTATTCTCAAACACAGTGAAACCCCTTTCCAGCCCTTTGTCTCTTGGGTGTGTGCGGTCTATTGGAAGGTCTCTAGTTTACTGAACAACTTGGGTTCACATTACATTTCCTGAGAGAAGGAAGGGCATACGGGACCAAGAACAGCATGTCTACTGGGACATCAGCTTTGCTTTGAAATCGCATCTAGAAATGATACATCTCAGGGCACCTGGGGAGCTCAGTCAGTTAAGTGTCTGACTTTGGTTCATGTCACGATCTCATGGTTCATGAGTTCGAGCTCCGGGGTGGAGCTCTGTGCTGACAGCTCAGAGCCTAGAGCCTGCTTGCATTCTGTGTCTCCCTCTCTCTGCCCCTCCCCTGCTTGCTCACTCTCTCTTTCAAAAATAAATAAACATTAAGAAAAACAAAACAAAAAAAAATGATACATCTCATTAATTCTTGCATTCTTTGTCCTAAAATCAATCATCTTGAGTTCAAGTTTGACTTTAGCTCACTTCATTATATAAGTGCTGAGTGCTCAGAACCTCAGGATCAAATTTCAAACTTAGTAATAGGAAATGGAATTCTTTGTGCATGGTGAATAAAAGCTATAGGACAACACACACCAATACTTAAAGATAAAGCTCTTCAAACAAGAGACTGGTATTTTAGAACGTTTTAGATTTAAAATTCCATGTATAATCATTTTAGTTGGTAATAAGTATTTTCTAGGTACCTATTGTATTTACAGCCCTCATACCAGATACTGTCTGTAGATGTCAGGTATGTGCTTATGAAATGTCATTCCCTGTTACCTGTTGCTGTGGCCTGGGCCCTCATCAATCTCTGCACTGAATTTCCATTCTTACTCATTTTGTGTCTTTCACTTAAAATGAACATATTTACCAGTATATGGTTAACATAGTGACTTAAGAGCTTTATGAGGTACCTAAAATTGCAAGATGAACTTGCATTCCCATTTATAGGACCCTGTAAAGGGACTGAATATTTAACACTACAAATATTTATCTTGATTGACAGGACAAATGTTTCAAAATTTAAAAAATTTTTCTTATAAAAAGTTTCAGATCCAAAAGAATATAAAAACCCACAGAAAGTAAAAACATAAAAGACACTCATATACCCACCACTCACATTTAACACTTTGCCATATTTGCTTCGCACTGTTTAGTTTTAAAGAAAGAATCAATGAATGATAGAGCGGGCGGAAGCCTGCATCTCCTCTTTTTTCTTCCCTCCTTGAGTTTACCTCTATCATATTTTGTTTGTGCATGTTTTTATACTTTCACAACTTAAATTATGTTTCTAAAATTTGCATAAGGGGTACAATTTGCACAAATGTTTGCAATTTGCTTTTTCATTCAACATTAAGATTTATCTGTATTGAGGATTTGAACTACTGTTCAAATGCCATTGTATGAATATGCCACTGTTTATACATCCATTTCCCTTCTGAGGGGCATTTAGTTTATCTGCAATATTTTTACTATGATACGCAATGCTAGTATGAATGAACCATCCATCCCTCCAGTGCCATTAGCTCTATCTTCAAAATAACATATCTTAAATCTGAGCACTTCTCCCCACTCCAAAACTACTCTAGTCCAAGCCATCATTTTCTCCTCCAGGGGCTCCTAAGTGACTTGAGCTTTCAATTCTGCTCCCTTTCAATCCATAGTTCACACAGCTCATGGGGTCAGATTGGGTCTGTCCTTCATCAAAATCCTTCCCATTGTACCTAGGATGAAATCCAAAGCTCTTCCCAAGGTCAGGAAGACCCCACATGATCTGGCCCCTCTCCCTTTCCTTCCCTAGCTCTCTAGTCAAGAATACTTGGCTTCTGGGGCACCTGGGTGGCTCAGGTCACCACTCATGGTTTGTGAGTTCAAGCCCCACATCAACTGGCTGCCATCAGCCTGTTAGCATAGAGCCTGCTTCAGATGGTCTGTTCCGCCCCCTCCACCCTTCCCCCCACTTGTGCTCTCCCCAATTAAAAAAATAACAAATAAACATTAAAAAAAAAAAAGGAATATTTGGCTTCTGCTGCTAGCTGTCTTACAGAGCCTTTGAATCAGCTGTTCATTCTGCCTGAAGTCAGCACTTCCCTCATTTGTGTATGGCTTGGTCTCTTGCTTTATTCAGGCTCCTGATCAGATAACTCCTCAGAGAAGCCTTTCCTGTTTTTTCTTATCTGAATACCTCTTTCATTTCGTTTCTCCTTATCCTGCTTTTTTCTTCTCAGAAGTTATCACACCTGAAATTATCTTGTTTACTTCTGTTCCTCCACTAGAATGTAAAGTCCCTGGCCTTTGTGTCCCCAGTTCTCAGAATAGTGTCTAGTGTAACAGGCATCGTCAATACTTAACCTGAACGAATGAGACAGCACCAGTACAAGACTCAACATGCACATTCTCCAGGACACGATCTTAAAAATTTTGTTGATGGTGAAGCACAATATGAAATACACATTTATACAAAGCACACACCCAAAGTGACACAAAGTTGCAGAAAACAATACTCACACTTACTACTCCTAATTTTTTTTTACCCAATTTCAAAAAGAGAAAATGTGCTAGCTGTAATCCAGTAAATTGATTTCACAATTCACCTGCAGTGTGAAAAACTCTGTTTACACCTGGAAGTGGTTTTGCTGGGTTTTACTAAAGATTTCTGAACTGCCCTCCAAAGTAAAATAAAATTACACTACTAACATTGCAGCAATTTCGTCATATCCTTACCAATACCTGGTCTTATCAGGCTTTTCCATTTTCGCCAGTCTGAGTGGAACTATCGCTTTGTTTTAACTTGCATCTTCCTACTTACTAAAAAGACTGACAGCTTAAACTTAAAAAAAAAAAAAATGTGTAAACTAAATTACTTTCTAGTGCCCCAAGAGATCTAAGAATTTTCCTATCAGAACTTTTCAGAGTTCAAGTGGCTTAATCTTCCCTTACTTTATGCATTTCACAATTCCAAATTCTCACATACTTAAATTGTAGTGTCACAAAACTGTATCCCCAAGGACACAGCACTAACCACAATTTTAGTTCTTTCACCATTTATATGGTTATTTACTCAACACTTATTGACCCCCCCCCCATCCCCAACACTGCCAAGAATTTCCCCAGACAAACCGCCTCCCCTGGCGCCTACCTTCGAGACCATGAGTTCTTTGTGCCTTGCACTGTCACAGAATGACCATGGCCAAGGCGTTAGTTTTAGAATGGCTCTTAGACTCCGACCAAGACCCTCCCAATTCTTCCAATCCATTGTTCTCTAGCATTACTTGCTCCCAAGTTTTTGTATTCAATACATCCAGGGAGGAACGCGGTGGATTCACGCATGCTCTCTTACTGCAAAGGAATTCTTCCCCCAGAGAAAAGTTTTTTAAGGGCGAAAATTCGAATGTTTTCATTTCAAGCACTTGTTTTAAATGAGAGATTATAATTAGGGTTTTTTAAAGCAACCCAAATTATTTTACTTTTTCTTCTGAAAGCTACTTTATTTCTGCTCTCTACAAAATATGCTTAAAAAGTCACACCTTACTGCGTCGGAATGTCAGGTTTGATTAAAAAGGCAAATGAAAAACATCTCACATTCATTCCAATTTCGGTAATTATAAATTCTGACAAAAGATATGATCGCCAAACCACATTAATAGCCTTTAGGTTCTATCCCGACAGATAAAATTCTAAAGGCTTTAGAATCCCGCAGTTAAGTCTTAACTAATAGCAACCCCTTTTTTTCTAATTTCAAAATCACAAGGCTTATGTAAAACTGCAACACAGCTTCGGGTGCTTTCTGGAATGAAACGTCAGGAGTTACCCCATTTAATCGCTTCAGATAACGATGTGGTTACCAAATACGAGGTGCCTCACTCAGGACAGCGACTGGGCTAATAAAGATTGTAGTTCGTGCTTAATTCTTTGATTTTTACATCTAATGATGTAAACCGCACGTCGCAATTAAAGTGCTAAATGCCAAGATCCCCAAGACTCCCGCGCTGCTCTCCATTACCCCGTATCTGCACTTTTCCTCTCTCAGCCCGGAATTCATGCAAATCAGCCTGGTAACCCCGAGGCAATACGAACCTCTTTCGCGCCATTCGCTCAGGACCGTGCAGCGACGTAAAGAGAGTGGTCCTGGAGCCCTAAAAGGGTCGTTTTTCTACAGTGGCTTTTGGAGATTCCTAGGTTGTTGCTCGAGGTCATAATATTTGGGGGGTGGCTTTTTCCCCCCGGCGCCGAGTACGTCTCGCTCCTGGACACGCGGTTACCACAGCTTGCAGGACCTGCGCCCCAACGCGGGAAACCCGGCCGGAGCCCCGCCCCTCTGGGCCCGGGTCTGCGCGCCCCGCCCGCCTGCCGCATCTCCTACTCCTTCGGCTCACTGGGACCGCTGCTCGCGCGGTGCTTCGCTCTCCCAGCTCTGAGCGCCGGCCTGGGCACCCGCCACCGGCATGGACGCTCGCCGCGTGCGGGTGAGCGCTAGGCGGACTAACCCGAGGGGCGGGTGCGGTGGGTGCTGGGCGCGGAACGACTCCTTCCAACTACCGCGGACGGAGTTAACTGGTGGCCGTCTTGGGCGGCATCCGTTTAGGCAAACCCCAGGTTTTGTGCATTTTGGGTAATTCGGCGCGCGGGGCCGGCCCCGTCTCGTGCGCAGGCTGTTCGGAGATGTGAGCAGTTTGCCGGGTTGGCCGCGCCGGAGAACCTGAGGCCACGTGCGCTCTAAGTGCACGTGCGCCCGGGGCCAGACAGTAGCCGGGGCTGGCGGGTTCCCCATTGTGTCTGCCGGCCTGAGCCCGGACGGAGAGGAGCGCCACCCTCCCCGCTCCCTGCGGTTTGCCCTGCAGCCGCCCAGCCCTTTCCAGCGTGCAGCCATGGGCGGGCGGGTGGCTCGCTGTGGCTTGACTCGTGCGCAGTGGGGCGGGGGGGAGGGGGACCTTGGACGCGGTCCCCACGGGATTTTGCGGCTGCCACACCGGCATCCGCTTCTAACTGCCGAGGGTCGGTGGGTTTGAAGTTTAAAGGTGTTGCAAAAACGGTCTCTTTAGAATTTGCGTTGCACACGTGGGGGGAGGCGTCTCTAGTTCAGGGCGGTGGTTAAGAGCACTTAAAGGATCTGGTGGTCCAAACTGTTCGCCCACCATTTGCTCGTTTTCCATTCATCAACCTTACTCACAGCTGCAGGACGTTGCCCTGAATGGAACGTTACTTTTTGCTCTAACGGAAACCGGAACGTAGGGTCTGCCCCAGGAGAGGTTAGAAGATGGGGGCTGGGTGAAAAGGAAGAAAGTGACATGCTGAAAATAAATAAAGATTAACACAAGTGGGGAAGCTGGGGTTCTCGTGGGGGGGGGGGGAGTGGACGTGTTGGGGGCGTGGTTTCAAAGACAGCTCCGCCGGGTGTAACCGGGCGTAGCTTTCAGGTAGAAGAAAGCCTTGGGCAAATTGGGCTTGGAATCTGACGTACCTGGGTTCAAATGTGGGCCATCCTGTGACTTGGGTAACCCACTTCACGTCTCGTGCCTCAGCTTTCCCGTCTGTTAAATGGGGAGAATGACAGCACCTTTGTTACAAGGAATTAATGTGAAAACATGCTTAGTGCCTGGCAGGAAAACAAAAACACCTACTAAATGGTATAGTTACCGGCCTGCCGGAAAAGCTCAACTTAGCCATAACCATTTGCCTTTTTCTATGTCTTTTTCTCCACCTGTTAACTTGAGTCTTGGCATGTGCTGACTTGTTAAAGCCCAGCATATGTTTCCCTGTCGGCTTCCAGTAGACTGCCTGCCTTGAGGCTGTCTTGGGCCTTTGACTGCTTGCAGGTAGATTGATGAGTAAATGGTGATAATTGCTGCAGCAGTGCAAGGTGCGCTGCTGTTTTAGGAGATTGCAGAATTGGGTTCTCCTGCCAACTGTGTCAGCTTGGGCGCTCTATTTCACCTCCCTGGAGTCTTGAATTTCCTCACCTGGAAAATAGGGTGTTTCTGAGAACCCTTCTAATGGGTAGTAGTTCTACGTATTATCACATTTTCTTCCCTTTCTAAAAGGACAAAAGACGTCATTTTATTTGCAAGAGATTGAAATGAAATGCAGAATGGTAGGTGTACAAAGAAGGTCAAGAGTGTTCTTTCCATGGGGCGCCTGGGTGGCTCATTCGGATTCTTGGTTTCTGCTCAGGTCATGATCTTATGGTTAATGAGTTGGAGCCTCCAAGCTCCCCTCCCCTCTATGGGCTCTGCGCTGCTTGGGACTCTGCCCCTCCCCTCCCAAATAAATAAATAAAACTTAAAAAAAAGAAAAAAGAATGTTCATTTCACCTGACACCGCACATCTTGGCATTATTTTGTGGGACCTATAGCAGAGCTTGCCTTCCAAAGTTTTCATTGTGAGGAATCACTTTTGTTGCGTGGCCATATTTAAGAAAATTAAAATACAGGATCTAATACAACACTTAAGGAATCTCATTACATATTAAGAAATGGCAGAAACTGCTGTTTTAACAGGAGATAGACACCAATTTCATTTTTTTGTGAGCAATGCCAGGTTGTTCGGTGTTTAACAAGTAATCTACAAGTAATTTGTGACTTAACAGAAGGACTTCTAAAAATTTAAGACTTGTACAGCAAGGAAACGGGAGAACTGAATATCAGGCCAGGCTAGTGGAGCGCTGAAGTGGAATCAGGCATTCTACCTGGGTTTGGAGTGCTGTTTGACCTTTAACTTGGCTCCTTGTATGTTTGTTCACTGAGTTGATGTACTTGATTTATAAGGACTTGTGCTGAAATCACTATACCCTTCCTGGTTGGAACAGGGCCTGTTTGAAATCCTGCCATCTTGAAATAGAGGTGCTGCCCAGTTTTTGTAGTTTGGGAAATTAGCATCACAGTACAGAGCCCAAAGCTTATATAAAAAGACCTCATTAGGTTGATTTTGGCCGAGGAACTCTACCATTTTGTACTTTTGAAAATTTCCTTTTAGAAGTGCAATCTAATGTTTTTTATTAACAGGCAGATTTTAGGAGGGCAGCGTGAAACCCCTTGGGAACTCAGTATAACTCTCAGCTTGGTGGGAAGAAAGGTGCACAGTGAGGTAGCCCTATAGATGTTTCATTATTTTGATAAATGTCCTTAACAATATCCCTTCAAAGGGATCCCCTTCCTTTTATGGTTTTACCAGGTTTTGAAAATATTTTTGTAGCATTTGCAAATCCTCCTTTTTCTGTATAGGGCATAAGAAATGGTAATGTCGACTCTGCGCTGTTTCAACCTACTAAACTCAAAAATGATGTCTTTAGTTAGTGTAGTAAGTGTCCCACTTAATAGTATTGCCATTTTCCTTTGCAGCAAAAGGGTCACGGAGTAAAGAAGAACTTAAAGAAATTTAGATACGTGAAGTTGATTTCCATGGAAACCTCGTCATCCTCTGATGACAGTTGTGACAGCTTTGCTTCTGATAATTTTGCAAACACGGTAAGTGCTGCCTGAGAATAAACAGAATTGAGTCTGCAGTGCTCAAAATGCCCCCAAATGCTTTGTGCGTGATTAAAACTGCTTGCTTTTTGCCTGCATTTCTACACAGCCGCTAGGAAAATACAGTATGCATTGTAATTTCATTTCATTTTTTGCTGTGGTTCTAGGTAGTAATTGTTGGAGGTAGATTAGCTACTTATTCTATCCTTTTGAAATGTCGCCTAACCTAACATGCTTGATGATTTGCCATAACAACTCAGAAATCATTTGTAAACCTCTGAACCATTTTTCTTTGTAACAAAAGCTGTTCTCTTGTAGTGCACTTGTAAATGTGATTTGCTCTCTGCACGGTTTATGGAAAATTGGTTCTTGAAAAAGGGGGAAAATGCACAACCACATTTATTTATTTATTTTACAGAAACCTAAATTCAGGTCAGATATCAGTGAAGAACTGGCAAATGTTTTTTATGAGGACTCTGATAATGAATCTTTCTGCGGCTTTTCAGAAAGTGAGGTGCAAGATGTGTTAGACCATTGTGGATTTTTACAGAAACCAAGGCCAGATGTCACTAAAGAACTGGCCAGTATTTTTCATGCCGACTCTGACGATGAATCATTTTGCGGTTTCTCAGAGAGTGAGATACAAGATGGAATGGTGAGTTTGAGAACCAATATCAAGAAGTAAGGTACATTTACAGGCATGACACGCTTGTTTTAAAAAAAGTTTTTTTTCTTGTAATTTTCATTTTAGTCATGCCAGGAAATTTTGTTGACCTTTTTAAAATTTTGAGTTCTTTTCTTCATGTCTTACAGCAGTTTTTACTGATGTAGTCCTGCTTGTAAAGCTTGAATATTTTGTAGGCTCTGAAAATCTTGGAAACTGGTAAGGTAAAATTGACCGACCTCCAGATTTCTGTTGCCACAAAAATCTACCCTGATGATCAGAAGCACACATGTCCTCCAGATCAGCCACATTCACATTGAAGTTCAAGTGCCCAGCCCAGTACCGGCCTGGCATGGGGCAGGCCTTTGGTAAATGTTGGTTCCCATGGTGGATCTTATATACATCTGCATCCAGAAAACCTGTGATAACTCATGTGCAGGAGTTCGAGTGCAGATAATGACAATTAGGATCCTTCATGCTTTGACTTTGGCTCCTTGGCTGGCTTTTCTTGTGCACGCTGCCTTGCCCATAACCTCTGTCATTCTGCTCAGGCCACTGCTGCTGCTGCACATCAGTCCCACTCTCCCTGAGCATACTGTTTAGTTCTGCAGACTCTTGCAAACAAGACTGTCTCAACAAAGGAAGCAGTGTGTTGATTTATAGTCAGGTGCGTGCTCTTCAGCTCATGGTGATCTGATGTGGGGCCACTCCCGGGGACCACATTGATCCTGACTTAAAAGGACACCTGGCCACGGAGTGTTTATCACTATCTAACTTTGTGGTAATGTAACATTTCCCCTAAGAAGTGACGGTGGTCCAAATCAGTGCATATCGGGAGTTATTACTGGTCTGCAAATACTGGATGTGACCCAAACATTGTCTACAGCCTGAGTCATTTCTGGACAATGTTTCCATTCTTTGTGGTTGCTGTTTGTTTCGATTAATAACATGCCAATCAATTAAAAGTCTTAAGAACTCATAAAAGTTTGTCATTTTCTCCTAATCATGCATACTAAAAGTACATGAAGAATACTAAAAGCTGTTTGGATTTCAGAAATGTTTGAATGTTAAAAAAAAAAAATGGCTCTACCATTTCTGGGAGTTTTATGAGTGATATTTTTTCCTTTCTCATTTTTTTTCAACCATCACCACAGTCGATTTAGAATGTTTTCATCACCTCCCGCAAAACCCTGTTCCCATGAACATCCTTTCCCAATATCCTCAATCGGCAACCACCAATCTATCTTCTACTGTTAGAGGTTTTTATATTTTGGACAGTGTATAAATGAGTGCAATCTTTTGTGACTGGCTTCTTTCACTTCACGAAATGTTTTCAAGGTTCTTCCATGTTGTGGTATGTGCTAGTACTTGATAACTTTTTTACTGCTGAATGATATTTTCTGAAAATACTACATTGTATTTATCCTATTCATCAGTTGATGGATTTTTGGATTGATTGTACCTTTTGGCTATTGTGAATAGTACTTCTTTGAACATTCATGATCAAGTTTTTGTGTGGACATATATTCTTGGAGTATATATATGATTGGATTATATAGTAACTCTGGCCTTTTAATGAACTGACAAGCTCTTTTCCTAAGTAGCTGCACCATTTTACATTCCTACCTGTAGTGTGGGCGGGTTCCAGTTTCTCTATATCCTTCTCATACATTCTTGTTACTGATTCAGTTCTACTAGTAGGTAATGAAGCAGTATCTTGTGATTCTGATTTGTTTTTCCCTAATGGATAATTTTAATACATCTTTAATGGTGGAAACTTACTTTTGGAATCTCGTTTTTTTCTCTTCCTCTAATTTTTAAATTTTCAATAAGATGATTAGAGAGCTATCTAGAGTAGTCAAATTCATAGCGACAGAAAGTAGAATGGTGGTTGCCAGAAGCCAGGGGTGGAATGGGGAGTTAGTATTTCATGGGTACGGTCTCAGTTTGGGAAGATGAAAAAGTTTTGGAGATGGATTGTGGTGATGGTTACACAACAGTGTGAATGTATTTAATGCCACTGAACTATACACTTAAAAATGGTTAAAATGGTGGGGCACCTGCACGGCTCGGTCAGTTAATGGTTCAACTTTTGATCTCAGCTCAGGTCTTGATATCAGGGTCAGGAGTTTAAGGCCCATGTTGGGTTCCACGCTGGGTGTGAGGCCTACTTAAAAATAAAAACGAAAAGGTTAAAATGGTATATTTTTATGTCACATATATTTACTGTGAATTTTTTAAAAAGTAGATTAGAGAATAAAGACCCCTTTAATATAGTTTAATGCCATAACCATTGAAACCATGTTTATGGGAGAGCACAATTGTAGGAATTCTTGTAATAAACCAAAGGTCTATTTTTTTTTAAAGAAATTAAAAAAGGAGCTAGGAATTTCACATTTCAAAAAAATGACTCAAAACCACTGGCCTAAGGGCTATGATAATGACTTGTAATGATGTGTCTCAGATAGGCTATGTGAGTTAACACTCAGATTGTTGTAATTCCTGATTTTGTTACCCAGAGCTATCAATTACAATTGACAGTTAAAGTATTCAGTTAAAATTTATTTGATGCCATTGTCTCTTGTCCAAAAGGAATTTGGTAGTCATACTGGTGCAGCCTGTGGGACAATCAGCAAGTCATTAACGATTCTATTGTTCCCACCCAATTAACTAGAGACTGCAGTCAGACCACACTGGCTGCAGGACCCGAAGCCAGTGCAGAAGGTCCGGACCCCTCCGCGTGGCCATGAAGTTTCCAACTCAGAACACCAGGGGAGCCGCCAGCAAGAGAGCAGCACCCCCAGAACCCTCTGAGAATTCTGTGACCGATTCCAGTTCTGATTCAGAAGATGAAAATGGCATGAATTTTTTGGAGAAAAGAGCTTTAAATATAAAGCAAAACAAAGCAATGGTAGGTATCTGACTTTGTGCTAAAACTCTTCCTGGCCTTTCTCTAAGCCGCTTGTTGCTTATATCTGTCCTAAGAATTATTTTCAGTGTAGCTGTGAAGTCTTCATAAAATATGCTTTAAGACGTGCTTCTTTTTCCTAAATTCCTAAAAAATTTCCTTAAAAAATCTTTTTTAATCATTAAAGTCTCAGTAAATGTATAAGTTAAATCAAACTCGAGATGTGCTACTGTAATTTCATTTTTGGCAAGTAACCTAAACTAATAGTTTCTGTTGAATTTTTTCCCTTTTTAGCTTGCAAAACTAATGTCAGAATTAGAAAGTTTCCCTGGCTCATTCCCTGGAAGGCGTTCCCTACCAGGCCCCAGTTCGGTAAGTGTGATCCTTATTTGTATAATAGTATTATGGACAGGTCTAATGTAGATTTGTTATTTTAAAATCCAATTTCCTTATTTTGTGTAGTCCTACAGACAAAGAGGAAGTAGAGAAAACCTTCTAACCGATCTCTGGGACCTCTTCTGTACATCCCAGGGCAGGTGGGGCCTCCCCAAGCCATGCTTCTGCAGTGCTTAAACTAACCCTTCGGATTGGTTCTTTCTGTCCTTCCCAACTCAGCTAAGCCCCTCAAGCACAGGGAGTAAATACTGAAAAAAAAATTTTTTTTTCTTAACATTAGTATATTCCTTCTACATAATAGATACATAATAATAGGTTTTTAATAACTGAGAATGAGAAAAAAGAAGGAAAAAACAATTTTGTTTAAATGTTTGTTTAGTTTTGACAGAGAGTGCATGCAGGGGAGGGGCAGAGAAAGGACAGAGGATCCAGAGCAGGCTCTGTGCTGACAGCAGCAAGCCCGACCCGGGCTGGAACTCCCAACCCATGAGATCATGACCTGAGCCAAGTCAAACGCTCAACTGACTGAGCCACCCAGACAACCCAGAAAAAGCAATTTCTTAACCAAGTGATGGTCTACTATATGTGATTCTTTTCTGAGGAACTAAGCTGGTGCAACTAAGGGGAATTTGGGGTGCATGCTGTGGTACAAAAGGAAAGACTTCCTTTCCTCACCTCTTCCTGAGGAAAAAGGGAAGAAGCAAGCAAGAAAAAGAAGGAAAACCACATACATACATTTTTCTCTGGTGCAATATAGAAATAGTGAGAATGGGGCGCCTGGGTGGCGCAGTCGGTGAAGCGTCCGACTTCA